AACCCGCTACTTAGGCAAGACCAGAACAGCATATGGACCGGTCTCAGGGCTTACTGGCAAACCAGGAGTCATGTACGGCTGAGAATTGCTTAGGTAATGGTGCCTTTAGGCACCTCCTAAATCAGGTAAGAAAGAGGTTTTGGTATCGGGGAAATTGACTGGCTACCAGTGCCTTTTGTGTATCTATGAAGAGGCTGCTGCAAAGCTCTTCAGAGTTCCGTCCACCAGAGGCCGATCCACCCTGGTGCTTTGGCTACAGCTGATCGCGTCCAGTCCGCCGTGCCTCTCTTTCTTCAACCAACCCGGGGAACTCTGAACACAGACAGGCACTAGTATTGTTTTGTTTTTGGTTCTTGAGACAGGGTTCTTCTGAGGAGCCCTGGCTGTCCTAGAACTTGCTCTGTAGACCAGGCTGGCCTCGAACTCAAAGATCCACTTGCCTCTGCCTCCCAAGTGCGGGGGGATTAAAGGTGTGCTCCACCACCACCTGGCCAGCTCTTTATGACCCATCTTAACACAAGGTTTCCAAGTTGGCTGTAGCAGAAAAACACGGGGTGGGTGGGGAGTGTCGAGGGTGGTGTCTGTGACCTTGAACCTTCTGTGGCACAAGGTTCACCTCCCATTGCTCAAACGCAGGTGAGAACTTCCAGAGCAGCAGGACAGACCGCCACAGAAGCCTGTCACAGGGCGGCTGCTGCCTCCCACCCACCCACCAGCACTGGCCCAAACCACACAAGATGGTGGGTGCTATGGTTTGAATTTGAGACATTCGCACGTACCGTCTGATGGGCTTCGGGGAGGTGACTGGATCCGTGGGCTCCGACCTACTCAGTGGCCTTTATCCCTTGATGAATTCATGCAAGAAAAAAAGGAAAAGGCTGCAGCTTGGCACCAGCGGGAGGAGAATTCATCTCCCAGGAGACCTCACACAGTTCTGACAGCTTCTCAGACTTGACGGAGAGACTGGAGCCGACAGCGATGGGCAGTAGTGGGCAGGACCACACCTTGACCAGGACTGTTCAGTTTTCCTGCCCCTTGCCCTTGGAAAGTCACTGGCCTCTTCATTCCTCCTCTGACTGTGGTCCTTCCGGGTGCATCTCCCTTTGCTACTTGCACTGTTGTTAAACTGGCTTATTGAGGATGCTGAACTTTCCTCGTTAGGGCCAGAGCCCTGTGTGTAACCCCGACAACCAGAGCCCTGTCTGTAACCCTGACAACCAGAGCCCCATCTGTAACCCCGACAACCAGAGCCCCGTCTGTAACCCCGACAACCAGAGCCCTGTCTGTAACCCCGACAACCAGAGCCC